GTAACTTGTAATAATCTCAATTTTGACATGTTTCTTTAAAACTCATTACATGTTCCTTAAATAAGTTTATTTCTGCTGGAATTTTATTTAAACAAATTCGGGTCCAAATTGTAATTTTTATTATTTTCGCTTACGAAGCAACGGGCCAGTGGGATAAATTCTTAATATCGCATTAATATTTAGGTAAATTTTCGTTTTTCATTTTCTCCGTGCAACTAATCCTTATAAGTTATGTAGAACGCATCTCCCGATTAAAGTAACTTTAAGCTGCCCGGGTAGTTATTAGCAAACACGATAAAGTGGCTCCAGAGTCTTCCTTAATTATGAAGACGTTAATTAACTCGACCGTTTATTAATCTACCGGTCATGTTATTAACGCTTTCAAAAGTAAAGTGTTCCTAGTCAAACCCCGCCAATTACGAAGATAACGCGTGAAATTTATATTGCACGCACTTGTGCCTCTACAACCTGCCCGATGTCAGTCAAATTGTCGCAGAAAATAGAATATAACAACATGGTGACCACATTCCGCTTTGCGTGTTTAATAGGTCCTAAATATATGCTTTAAAACGCGTTGCGGCTGTATCGAATTTGCTAGAACGCATTGCGACTTTTTTCGAATTTATTAAAACACGTTGCGGCCTTAACAAGTTTGCTACAATGCGTTGCGACGCATTTAGAGCTTTTTGACAACATGTGTTGCGACTTTTCTAAGTTTTCCGTGTTTTAAAACGCGTTGCGGCTGGATTGAATTAGCTAAAACGCGTTGCGGCTGGATTGAAATTTGCTAAAACGCGCTGCGGCTGGATTGAATTTACTAAACGCATTGCGACTTATCTCCACTTAACACGTTGTGGTCTTTTTTAGTTTGCTAAAATGCGTTGCGGTACTTTTACAGCTTTCTGACAACATGCGCTGTGACCCCTTTATGTTGGCATCAATTGATTTTAGTCTTAGACCGAATTTGATAAAAAGCGTTGCGGTCTTTCTAAGATTTCCGTTGTCCAGAATTCATTTTAACCAGTTTAAATGTTTTAAAACGCGTTGCGGCTGGATTGAGTTAGCTAAAACGCGTTGCGGCTGGACTGAAATTTGCTGAAACGCGCTGCGGCTGGATTGAATGTACTAAAACGCATTGCGACTTATTTCCATTTAACACGTTGCGGCCCTTTTCGGTTTGCTAAAATGCGTTGCGGTACATTTACAGCTTTCTGACAACATGCGCTGTGACCCCTTTATGTTGGCATCAATGGATTTTAGTCTTCGACCGAATTTGATAAAGAGCGTTGCGGTCTTTCTAAGTTTTCCGTTGTCCAGAATTCATTTTAACCAGTTTAAATGTTTTAAAACGCGTTGCGGCTGGATTTAATTAACTAAAACGCGTTGCGGCTGGACTGAAATTTGCTGAAACGCGCTGCGGCTGGATTGAATTTACTAAAACGCATTGCGACTTATCTCCACTTAGCACGTTGCGGCCCTTTTCGGTTTGCTAAAATGCGTTGCGGTACATTTAGAGCTTTCTGACAACATGCGCTGTGACCCCTTTATGTTGGCATCAATGGATTTTAGTCTTCGACCGAATTTGATTAAGAGCGTTGCGGTCTTTTTAAGTTTTCCGTTGTCCAGAATTCATTTTAACCAGTTTAAATGTTTTAAAACGCGTTGCGGCTGGATTGAATTAACTAAAACGCGTTGCGGCTAGACTGAAATTTGCTAAAACGCGTTGCGGCTGAATTGAATGTACTAAAACGCATTGCGACTTATTTCCACTTAACACGTTGCGGCCCTTTTCGGTTTGCTAAAATGCGTTGCGGTACATTTACAGCATTCTGACAACATGCGCTGTGACCCCTTTATGTTGGCATCAATGGATTTCAGTCTTCGACCGAATTTGATAAAGAGCGTTGCGGTCTTTCTAAGTTTTCCGGAATCCAGAATTCATTTTAACCAGTTTAAATGTTTTAAAACGCGTTGCGGCTGGATTGAATTAACTAAAACGCGTTGCGGCTGGACTGAAATTTGCCAAAACGCGCTGCGGCTGGATTGAATTTACTAAAACGCATTGCGAGTTAACACAATGCGGTCCTTTTTAGTTTGCTAAAATGCGTTGTGGTACTTTTAGAGTTTTCTGACAACATGCGTTGTGACCCCTTTATGTTGACCGAATTTGATAAAAAGCGTTGCGGTCTTTTTTAAGTTTTCCATTGTTCAGAATCAATTTAATCACTTTAAATGTTTTAAAACGCGTTGCGGCTGGATTTAATTTACAAATAACGCGTTGCGGCTGGATTAAATTTACTAAAACGCGTTGAGACTCACTTGAATTGATTAAAGCACATTGTCGCTTGTCGCTTTAATAAAACGTTGCGGACAATTCTTTAAACGCATTGCGGTCGTTGTGAATCTCTCATAGAACGCGTTGCGGCGGTTCGTTATAAGTTCATTAAAATACTTCGTGACCATTTCTGAAGTTTATTAAAAAGTGTTGCAGTTTTAGACGAACTTAGCGGCCTTATAAGCTAACAATATGCACTAATATAGATACGATTTTTAAAAAGGTTATTGTTTTTCGTTTTAGGTGACTAAGCAGTCGAAGACCGAACAGTATGCCGAACAATCGGAAGAGAAACAATTGAACGCGACAGCTAAAATTGTCCAGGAACACGGATCGACTGAAAAGACCATGGACAGGAACAAAAAAGTGACCCAGTCAGTTTCTGAAAAACTTGAAGGGAATAAAAAGGTAACGGAAGCTAAAATGGAATCGCACCAAAGTTTTAGTATGGAAGAAACTTCGGAATTTGAATGGGAAGACGCCTAATTAGTTTTCTATTTCTGTACCTAATGTCGTGTTAATAATGTTCTCTACCTACGTATTTAAACGAATCAAGGTGGCCTGGTATACTTATATGCATGTATGTGTGTGTTTTATTTAATGTAGAAGCATCAATAAACCATAACTTTATACTATATGGTACCTATAGCTATGCAATCCGCTAAAATGTTTGGTTCTTTTTTAATGTAGTGCAGTTAGTAGGCAACCTTTGTGAATAACAATGAACAATGTTCACTGCTTTTGTTAAATAACAACAAATAAAACATTTTCGAAAACAACATTCGTACTTACAGTCTTTTTGCATTTTTTACATATATTGTTTTGTTTGATTGTATCATTAGTATTTATGTTTTAATTAAAAAAAATTTGTAATTACCTACTAATCCTTTTTAAAAGCATTTTAATAAACAATCATATGAATTAAGCAGTGGTGCAGGTTACTTCTAGAAAGGGGTTTGATTCTGGATTTAAATTTTTCTGGATTAAAATTTAAATACTAATGATAC